TCCTACTTTGTCTTGACAAAGTTCAGCAATAACTTTTTTTGTGCCCTGCTTGTCCAATTTGGACAGCATACTTTCAGCAGTCGAAACAAAGGCAGGTTTTTTACCCAAATGGGTAGCTTTGCCACATTGAAAGCAACTTCATATAGAGTTTCGTCAATGCCCACTGTCCATTTTCGAAGTAAATTGGTGCTCCCAGGAGCAGACATGTCTCACTTTCATGAAAAGCCTTATGTTATTAAAACATCCTAAGTGCCATATTCTGTAGATCTCTGAAGTGTTTGAAGACCACCTATCTAAAATATACCTCTGCTTAACCTTGAAAGCATACCTAACATGAATACAAGTTTGATTATAATAGATGACTAACTACTAATCTGTATTATTTAATTATGCATTAAAATTTTAAATGACCTGTGAAGGTACAATACCTTTAACAAGAGTAGAAACATATATACAGTATAAGAAAAATAACCTTAAATTTGTATCAGTATACAAAAATCCAAACTAATGTAAAATATTTGAGACTAATAGTTGCGCTTTTTTTTTTTAGTTTGAAAGTAGATTCAGTAATCTATTCTTTAATCCTATCATTTCTATATCCTCTCTATTTCTTTTCAGAATGAGATCCCTGAATCTAATTTCCTTTGTTTCATTTCCTCCTTGATCATGACCAATAACAACTTATAACCAACGCCCCTAAGTGATGACAAACATCCATAATCCACTGGAGGACAATTAAAAAAAAAAAAAAAAAAAAAAAATAAAACCAAAAAAAAAAAAAAAAATCTGAAAAAAAAAAAAAAAACTTCCACCCCCACCTCTTGGGAAAGTGTTCACTAGGCTGCTTCCTATTGTCTAGGGCACCAGCATCTTTGGGATACCCTGAGAAAATTGAGATAATGATCAAGACCTGGGAGAGCTAGTTGTATTATTTTTTGTTTAGTCTCTGTGTGATGAGAAAGTGTAAAGCTTATCTAAAGTTTTGGCTGGATAATCCGAGGCCAGACCATCTCAGCTAACAGCTTTGAAGTTTTTCTGGATGCAGAATTTTGAGGAAACTGCAACAGAGGCATTCTGAGAGGCTGGATTACCTGGACTTTTTGTCTTTATTGGTTTCTGGTCCTTTTTTTCTGAAAACACATCAACTTTTAAAGTAATGTATATGACTGCATTAACAGAAGTATAAAATTGCAGTATGCACAAGTCAATTAAAGATGATTTTTTTTTTGTTTTATGTTTGAGTGTGTAAAAGGCATCTGTTAACTTTGTAAGTTTGTTTGGACTGTATAACCAAACCTCTATCCATGCCTTATTAAAGTATAGCATGCATATAATAATAGGTCATGAGGACTCTGTAGCCAACAAGATTTATCATGTCTCATCTAATCTCAGAGCTGTTCTCATAGTAGAGGGATCAGCATATAAGTCATCTGTCCTCTAGTCTTTCTTGTTCTTTTTTTTTTTTTCATGTCTATAGCCAAGATTATCAGGAGGTCTCCCCCAATCAAATCTGATCTTCATTAATTTTGAAGAAAACCATTAACTTTTTGCTTCCTATGGAAACAAAGGCATAACCTCTCCCCTAAACCCAATTGTAGCTTGAGTTTTTCGCCTTTGCCCACAGTCAGGACAAATCTTTGTCACCCTCCAGTCCCACAGCCGCTCAGACCCAACCAAGTAAACACAGACACTTATATTGCTTACAAACTGCATGGCCGTGGCAGGCTTCCTGCTAACTGTCCTTATCTTGCTAACTGTGCTTTTATCTTAAATTGATCCATTTCCATACATCTATACCTTGCCATGTGGCTGGTGGCTTAC